GATTGAATCCCACATGGATTTCTTGAATTTTTTTGAAAGAATTTTTTTCTTATAAATAGATGGAAACTTTCACAATAATTTAAAGCTCCTAATGGGATTCTTCACAAGAGGAGACCCTTGAAAGAGAGTTTTCAATTAAAATTTTCTTATATTCTTATATTATATATATATATATATATAAGAGGAAAGAAAAAAAAAAGTTACCAGAAAAATAACAAAAAAAAAATCCAAATCCATCAACCCGGTGAACCGGCTCCGGGTCGACCAGTTCGCCGGTCTAACCGCCGGTTTTTCCGGTTCTCCTTAAAAATGCCGGTTTTCATTTCTGGCCGGTTTAGAGGGTCCATCCGGACCGGAACCCTGACCGGTCGACGGTTCAACCGGTCGAACCGGCCGGTCTAGTCCGGTTTTCAAAACCTTGAGCAACGCAACTCGAAAGCCTGTGAGAAGTTCCCTTTACTGGAATAAGTAGCAGCAACATCCTCCCAGATATCCTGTGTAGTGTCCATAGCTAAGTAGCCCTCTCCAATCTCAGGGATCATAAAGTGGATCAACCAACCCATGATGAGAGAGTTGGTGATTTCCCACTGATCATAACTAGAGTTTGTGATGCTGGGTGCCTGTATTTTGCAATCAACATACCCTATCGTCCTTCTGCTCTTTAAAAAAATAGTCAAACTCTGCGACCATGCTAAATAGTTTTGCCCATTTGATAGAGAAGTGGTGATTTTAAGGCTAGGGTTGAGATTATCAGTCATAGTAAAAGAGATAAGGGAACTCATTCTTAGGCGGCTGAGAAGTTGTTGACTCATTAGTGGAATTTGCCATAAATATTCTACAAGTAACCCTCAAACCTTGTGCCAATTACAAACCCGAAAGATGGTAGAGAAATAGCAAACACTATGACCATAAAAAAATCATATGAAAATTAAGAATATTTTCTTTTAAAATTTATCTTCTCTCTTCTTTTATATATATATGTATATATAAAGGATGTTTAGGTGGACAACATTACATGAGAGAAGGGGACTGTTTGGAGGCTGACCGATAGAGGCCTAAGGAGCAAGAGAGAAGCCGACAGAGGCTAAGAGTGCCAGAGAGGCTACCGACAGGTCCCTAGAAGACCAAAAGGGCTGCCGACTAAGCATAATAGGCTGTCGGGGAGTCCAAGAGAACTGCCAAAGGCCTCGACAAACGTGTAGGAGGTTTGGGTTGACTATAGGTGGGCTGGGTGGGAGTCTACAGTGGCCAACTGGACTACTAGGGAAAAGAAAGGACTGCCGACAATGCTCCTAGGCAAAAAAAGACTGCCGACAGTGGTGCTAGAGAGATGGGTGATTGCTGATAGAAGAAAAGAAGAGCAAAGGAGGGATGGCTAGGGTTTTGGCTCTGATATCTTGTAAGTTTAGAAAAGAGAGACAAGGAATGAGTGAGACCTCATCCTTTTTAAAGCATCAACAATGGATCCATTAGTGAATGTTTTAGTGTCAGCTGTTAAAAATTTAGCTAGTGAAACTCTTATTTTGAGCTCCAATGGAGCTGTTAATGGGCTGGCCAGTGCAACACATTAGTGTCAGATGCTAATGGGTTGGCCACAGTTAACAAGTGGTTTGGCTAGCCGAGAGAAAGAGAGTAAGAGAGAGAGAGAGAGAGAAAGAGAGAGAGAGAGAATGAAGCTGAGATAGTGCAGTGGGGTGGCCTACTGCACTTTTCAATTATTTATTTATTTTATTTATTGTTTATATATATATATATATTCTTAACACATAACTTAACACATTTATTGTATCACCATTCACTCACTAAATTAACAAACTCTTAACACACATTTTTGGATCTCACTTTTATCACTTTTTGTCATATAACACACTTTAACACATCCATTGTGGATGCTCTTATATTAAGAATAATGCGTATTTACAGAAGTGTCATTTGGCATAAATTATGGGCCAGCCCATTACATCAATCAATGGAAAATAAAATGGGAAAATTATTATGTAGTGCTATGTAGGAGATCTATTTCCCTTCTGATCCCACTATATTTTTGATAAACCAACAAGTCCATAGTTTTTTAGGTTTTGTACCTGGAGGTCCCGTTTTTTATTTTCTTATTTTTTGAATGACTGTACTACCCTTTGATTTGATATATATATATATATATATATATACGTGAAAAATCAAATTTTAGATTGTGGATCTCGCCTCTGCGAGGTTGTCTGCAATCTCGATCTCTCTCTATGAGGTCGATCTCTTTGTGCAATCTCAATCTCTGTGTTTAGGCGATCCCTGCATACACACGCACACACTCTCTCTCTTTATATATATCTATCTATCTCGCAATACATATATGTATGTATATATATAGATAATTTGCATGATCTCTAGTTCGTGTTCGTCAATTTTGTTATAGTTCTCTGTTTTGTGATAAATTTTGTTGGTTTGATACTTATTTTGTGATTTTTTTATGTGATATAGTGTAATGATTTTTATTATGAAGTTGGATAATGTGCATACTTATGGGGTTGTTGCTCGTAAATCTTGTAGCAAAATGGTTGATTCTAGACTTGTCTCTGATATTGTGCATAATGATATTAGTGATAATCCGTTGACTCGTCCTATCGAAGTTAAAAAAAAGTTGAAGAAGTAATATGGTATAGATGTTTCTTATCGGGTTGCATAGTTAGAAGTTGACAAGGCAAGATGTGGGTTGTTTGGCGATTTTCCATCTTCTTTTGACCAACTTTGATAGTACCTTGAGACGGGTATGAGAACGAATCCTGGAAGTGTGTTGGAATTAGATGTGGATGAAATTAGCGAGTATTTTTGGAGGTTTTTTGTGACATTTCATGGATGTTTGTGTGGATTTCAATTTTGTCATCCTTTATTGTTTGTTAATGATACATTCTTGAAGGGGAGTTACAAAGGGCATTTGCTTGCAGCAACATCAAAGGATGATAATCAAGGTATATATTTATTTGCAGTTAGTATATTTTTGGTTTGTCAGTGTGTTTTGGTAGTTGGTGGATTTTGGTTTCTGTTATTGTATTGTGAGTCTGCTAATTTTTGCAGTTTCATGTTATTTTGTTTTTAGGCCTGTTTCCTTTGGCTTTTCCGAACGTTGATGCAGAAAATCAAGATAATTGAATGTGGTTTTTAAGTTAGCTGTTGAAAGTTATTGGTTCAAGTCGGAAATTGACCTTTGTGTTCGACCGCCAACATAGATTACTAGATGCTCTTTTGGTAAGCAAAGCTATTAACATACCTTTCAATATTATTCAAACTGCAAAATTTTCTACTTACTTAAAATGTCTTACTGCATACTTTTATAACATATTTCAAACATATATAAATTATAGGCTCCACTACAAAACCAAGATCAGGCATTGAGGGAAAAAATGATGGACATCCATTTTTCAGAAGAAATGAAAAACATATATATCCATTTTCCAATCAACCACGACAACCATTAGACCATTGTGGTCTTTGACAATGCTGATGGGATATGGAGGCACTATGACTCTTTGAGGCCAACAAAAGGATGTCGCAACAAGCACTTTAAAATTGTAAAGGAAATTGTAAGTTAAATAAAGTTTCCTATCTAGTTCCATTCCTTTCAAAACATCTAAGCACGTCACTATAACTAACAAAAACACCCACTAACTCTTTTATAGCAACAACATTAATTGAAATGGAATAAAGCATTATTCAGCAATCAAGGAAACATGTTATCATCTATCATCTCAAAAGTGCAAGACAGTAATTGCATCAATTGAGGAATGCGCACAAAAAATCCCATACTCGTAAGATGCAAACTCAATAACTAATGTTTCAATATACTAAATTTTTCAGTTTTACTTAACTAATTCACTTCATCTAAAACTTTGCAGGAATGATTGTGCATCGCCGTCTACAATGTTATCAACCAATATATCAACTGACAAACTGTACAGAAATCACTTTGACCAACTGAGTGGGTCAAATTTCGAGCAAAAATCATCAGTCAATTCCTCAATGATAAGAATCGATCTTGGAACCTCGAGCATTATCAAATGTTGACAAAACATACCAAACTATAGAAACAATGAACAAACTTCTTTACAATAGAAATACTCATGTGAACATATTTTTGTACTGTTTCTTTTTTTTACGTATGACAAGTACTCTTTATGTTTTTGGTGGTTGATCTTCTTGTGGTTATCACGGTGGTGATGATTGTTGTCATTGATGTTATTACTAATCTTCTTGTTATTATTCTTCTTCTTGTTTTTCCTGTCTTGCAGTTATTATTGTCTGCTCTTCCTGTGATTATTATTCTTGTTTGTGTTCTTGCAGTTATTATTGTCGTCACGTTTGTGGTTGCATATAAATTCATACAGGACATGTTTCTAATAATGCTTAAAATTGCAAAATTATGCAATTTCATTATTCAAACAAAAATTATGCTACAAAATTATGCAGTTTCATTATCGTGAATTGCCTTCCACGCATTATAATATGTATTTACTAAATAATTCTTGAAATTGCAAAATTATCCAGTTTCATAACTCAAACAAATAGATGAACTACATTTCAAAATTGTAAATGAAACTGGAAAACTATACAATTTTGTCACTACGAAACATTAATAAATACATCATGTAGTAAAACTACAAGATTATATAGTTTCAATAAGAAATTTTCAAAAACCTTCTTAGCATGCCAAAAAATAAAACCAACTCCACAAACCAAAAAAAAAAAAAAAAAAACTGTTACAAAACAATTTTAATAACTAAAGAACAAATGGAAAAAGAAAAAAGAATGCAACCAACTTTATTCATTACTTCCATAATACCAAGTATCACATTTTATTATTATAATTCCTCAATTTCAAATATAAATCCAAAGAATAGACTATGGCCTCAAATAGCAACCTTGCACGTCTTGTGATTCTCATATTTCATGCGCTTCCCACACTTGATTTGTTTCACATTCTCATCTCTAAAAGATATCCTCTTCTTTTTGTTCCGCCCGGGTTGCTTTTTCGTTATAGGGGGTTTGCTAATCGAACTACTGGCACCATCAAAGTCAAATCTCTCACTTCAAGGCACTGGATAAACAAATTCCTTGTATGACTCTCTATAACAATCCACACAAAAAAAATGATCAATGAACTCATACACATTTCTACTATCACTATGCAAACCATGCGCAACATAACAATAAGGAAAACCATTCAATTGCCATTCATGACAAGAACAAGTCCGTCTACCAATATCAACATAAAAAGAAATAGAAGAATGAACCTCAAACACAGTATCACTAGCAACAATCACATCCTCAGACTTAGCTAGTTTCAAAGAGTCCACCAACTTCTTTTCCATAAGTGGACACAATTTGGTAGTCCATCTTTTAAATTCAGCCCTCCTATTAGACAATTGAGTCATGATTTGAACCCTAATCATGACAACCATACAAGTAAGAGGCAACTCACGGGCCCCACCAATCTAATTATTGTAAGACTCAGCAGCATTAGATGACATCTCACTATATCGTTTCCCTCTAAAAAATGCATTCGTCCACTTATTATTTTGCAAACCATCCAACATACTATCAACTCTATCATTCCTAACAATATGCCTCAATTTCTCCATATGATGTTGGAAAGAAGCAACAGTTGATGCATAAGCATATTTAAACTAATATTTTCATCAAATTCAATTTATAGTTAGTACAAAATCCCACCAATTTGTCAATCAAATCTCTTCAAATAGTTCAAGCAATATGCATGATGTGCATTGGAAAAAACCACCGAAAGAGCTTCTAACAATCCATGTTGACGATCGAACACAAATGTCAATCTCCGACTTGAACCAACAGCTTTTAACAACTGACTTAAAAACCACATCCAATTATCTTGATTTTCAGCATCAACAATCGCAAAATCCAAAGGAAACATGCCTGAAAACAAAATAACATGAAACTACAAAAATTAACAAACAATAAAATAACAGAAACCAAAATTCACCAATTACCAAAACAAACTGACAAACCAAAACTATACTAATTGCTAATAAATATATACCTTGACTGCCATCGTTTGATGTTGCTACATGAAAATGTCCCTTGTAACGTCCCTTCAAGAATGTACTATCAACAAACAACAAAGGACGACAAAATTGAAATCCATACAAAAATCCATGAAATGTCACAAACAACCTCCGAAAACACCCACTACTTTCATCCACATCTAATTCAAACACACTTACGAGATTCATTCTCGTACCTATCTCAAGGTACCATCAAAGTTGGTCAAAAGAAGATGCAAAATTACCAAACAACGCACGTCTTGCCTTATCAACTCCTAACCATGCAATTCGATAATAAACATCTATACCATATTGCTTTTTCAACTTTTTTTTAGCTTCGATAGGACGAGTCAACGGATTATCACTAATATCATTATGTACAATATCAGAGAGAAGTTTAGAACCAACCATTTTGCTACAAGATCTACAAGCAACAACCCCACAAGTATGCACATTATCCAACTTCATAATAAAAAAAATACCGGAATTCATCAACACCCTTCCATGCACAAACCACTTATAGCTTGTAAACGACTTTATCATACATTCAACAGTTACTCTTATTGCATCATTCTTCAAATAATTCACTGCAAAACCACACTTAACTGCATACTTAGCCAATGCAATGCGGAATGCCAGCACTCCACCGTCAAATTCTTGACCAACACTAGGCAAATTAGAAACTATCAAAATCATTACAAAACTTTATCTAGTTCTGGATAAAAATTAGGCAACAAACTACCAAAATCATCACAATCGTTAATCAAAGAACTCTTACAAATTACAGAATCAATCCTAGAAGAATTATCATCAGCCTCTACAATTCTCCTATCACTCACAACAACATCAACATGAGAACCACTAGGAGCTACAATTGACATCATATTCTCCAAATCATCATCACATTCAACAATACAATTGGAATATCCAGGAATAGAGAAAAACAAACAAAAGTTACCAACACTTAATTCCTTGAACTTCATATATATTTTCTCAACAATTTCATGATAACTACATCCCTCACTAATCTTAATAGCAGTACAAGACTTATTGCATTTGCACATTAACATGAAACACCCCTCCATATTACAAATCACAAACCAACAAACAATTGATCACATAGTCCAAACTGTAAAATTATACAATTACAACATATCAGTATCAAAACTTCAGAATTTACAATTCCAAACTACAAATTCAAAACACGTTACACTATACAACAAACAAAATAAAAATAAAATCAAAATCATTACACTATATCACATACAAAAATCACAAAATAATTATCAAACAAACAAAATTTATCACAAAACAGAAAACTATAACAAAATTGACGAACACGAACCAAAGATCATGCAAATTTGCTTTTCTATATATATACATACATATATGTATCAAGAGAGAGAGAGAGAGAGAGAGAGAGAGCAAAGATCACCTGAATACAGAGATTGAGATCGCACAAAGAGATCGCCCTTACAGAGAGAGATCGAGATTGCAGCGAGATCCACAATCTAAAATTTAATTTTTCCTGTATATATATATATATCAAATCAAAGGGTAACGCAATCATTTAAAAAATAAGAAAATAAAAAATGGGACCTCCGAGCACAGAACTTAAAAAACTGTGGACCTATTGGTTTATCAAAAATATAGTGGGATTAGAAGAGAAATAGATCTCCTACATAGGACTACATAGTAATTTTTCCTAAAATCAAATAAGAATAAAATATAACAAATATAATTTCCTATTCTAACATAAAGTACTATTACTAGCAAACAACGAAGTGGCAATGGATAAATCATCTTGACATAGAATCATTTAAACATCAACGCTAGGTTTAAATCACGAAAAAAAAACGAATAAATCAAATAATAACTAGATGCCTAGGGAACAATCCCCAGTGAACTGATTAGCTCGTGAGATGTCCTCGGCTGATAAACCCACACCCTGACCAGCCATCCCCAAAAGACAAAATAAAATAAGGGCAAAGTTTTCGTGTAGATCCTCTAATCTGATTTACAACTTGACTAGAAATTAACAGGTGCAGAACACCACGTGATTGTATGCTCGACCACTGGTGTTTCATGATTTGTTCAACAAACTTTCATATTCTAACTGTAATTCATTCCATAAAATCTTAATTCTTTCAAGTTTCAGACACAGCCAATTTATACAAGCAAGGAATAATTCATTACAACTTAAGTAAGAAATTACTCTTTTTTCGAACCAGAAAGTACTTTCTTCAAAGTGACAGGAAAAAAGGAGGCACACCAACTCCTTTATAATAGCTTCATTCCACAATGGCTCCGTTTGGTGTAACTGTTAGAATAGCTTATAGATTATAGCTTAACAGATTATAGATTATGACTTTAATCAGAAGTTGTTAATTTGTTTGGTGTAGCTGTTGGATTAAAGATTTAAGTTGCTGAGTAATGTTTGTTAAATAAGCTGTTAAATAGTTTTTTCAATTAATTTTTATTTTTTGTTTGTCTACATTTCTCATAAAAAAAAATAATAATCTATAGTCCATTTGGGTCTTTTTCTATTTTTAAAAAAATAAAAAATAAAAAAAATTAAGAGTATAACCATAAATTAACATGTCCACAGCAGAAGTTGATAATCAGAAGCAAGGGGTGAGCAGCTTCTCAGAATCAGATTTTTTGATTTAAAATAAGCTGCTAGAATCAGAAGTTGTTTGAAATAAGTTTAACCAAACAGTCCAAAATAACTTTTTGAAAGTTAAAAGCCATAAATTAGCTCTGAAAAGCTGAAACAAACACCCTCAATATGTGGATTGGGATTTTTGGCACCTCACAGAGTCATAAATGAATCAAAAAGAGAAAAGAAACCTACCCAACCCAGCCATTTTTGTTTGCATTGCCCTTGAGAAAAGCCTTCTAATCACGGAACAGAGTGAGATCAATTTTGAACTGTTGCTTCCCCTTTTTTTTTTTTGAGCATCAACAAAATTTTATTAAAACAAAAAAGTGAAAGAGGACAAGAAGTCCTCATACATCATATAAAGAAAAGTAAGAAAGTAAAAAAATCAAAACAAATAGCATGAAACTGCTAGCATTAGGGATGACAAACAGCAGCCCAATCCCTAGAGATCAAAAATAAAGGGACTTCTTTAAAATAAGGGGATACAAATACCCAAAATGATGCCAAATATTCCGCCATAGCCCGCAAAGCCTCTACACTAGCTTCCTTGCCATCAAAGATTCGACCATTTCTCTGCGACCATATAGCCCAAAAAATAGCAAAAACAATGCTTGACCACATTGTTTTGGCTCTCCTGGTTCTCCCAAACCCCTCAAACCTAATAAGGAGCATATGAATGTAGTCCAGTGGAACAACCCATTGCTCATCATATAAACTGAAAATACGCTGCCATAATACACAAGCCACCGGGCAATGAAAGAATAGGTGATCCGCTACCTCCAAGTTACTCTTGCACATCACACACCATTGAGGGCACAAAGAGTGATTAGGCATTCTTTTTTGAAAAACATCATTAGTTGTGACACCTTTTTGAGCCAAAAACCACATGAAAAACTTCACTTTATGAGGGACACCCACTTTCCAAATTTTCTTATGAAAAGGGACCAAGGGAACCGATGGATTATCAATGAGCTTATCAAAAAAGGATTTACATGAAAAGATCCTTGAAGAAACAAGATTCCACACCCTATTATCACAAGACGAAGAAAGAGAAGCCCCACAAGCACTACCAACAAAGATGCCATCTCCCCCACCTCCCTATCATTCAAATTTCTAATGAGATCAAAATTCCAAGAGATGGGTGCTATAGAAGAGCAAGCCACCGACGCTATTGAAACATTTTGAGAACAGACCAACCAATAAAGAATAGGAAAAGATCTAGCAAACGAGATATCCCCTAACCAAACATCCTCCCAAAACCGGATGTTCTCCCTATTCCCTACTCTGAATGAAAAAAAGTTAGACATAAGAGGATACAAACGAGAGATAGATTTCCACAGAGAACAACAATTGCCTCTATTTACCACATTAGACTCCCTACCATTGGATTGAACTCCATACTTGCTTTTAACAACAAAACACCATAGCGATTCACTTTCAAGAGAAAATCTCCACAACCACTTGCCTAAGAGAGTAATATTCCTAACAACGATGTTCCCAATAGCCAAGCCACTGTTTTCCCTAGAAAGAGAAACAGTCTCCCATCTAACCAAATGAACCCCTTTGCCCTCTTCACACCCTTCCCAAAGAAAATCCCTCATCAATTTTCCTCGCAATGCTAACCAGAATTTTGAAAGGGGACAGGAAATAAATAAGAACAGACCCTAATACGGATTGTACCAAAATATACCTCCCCCCTTTAGACAACAAAGCTTGCTTCTATCACTCCAATCTTTTCCCAATCTTGACAAGAGCAGGTGCCCAAAAGGACGCCAATCTAGGATCTCCCAATGGAAGCCCTAAATATTTGAGAGGAAAGGAATCAATTGAACATCCCAACATAGCAGCCAACCTATGCACATAACTATCTTCCAAATTAATACCCACAACACTACTCTTGCTAAGATTGACCTTGAGGCCCGATACTATTTCAAAAATTCTCAGAATCTTTAGCAAACTCCCCACTTAATTTCCTCCTTTGATGAGAAGAATATAGTATCATCCGCAAATTATAAAGGAGTAACTCCAATCCTATCCCTTCCTACCACAAACCCCTCAATGACACCCTTATTCTTAGCTACATCAATAATCCGACCCAACACATCAGCAACTAAAATACCCAAAAATGGTGATAAAGGGTCACCCTGCCTTAGACCCCTAGATGTTTGAAAAGAATCCCCAACCCTGCCATTCACAATGACTGACATTACATGACGACAAGAACCCCCAAATCCACCTTCTCAACCTAACGCCAAACCCCTTCCTTTCCAAAACAAAATCCACAAAGCCCCAATCAACATGGTCATATGCCTTATCAAAGCCTACCTCAAATACAATACCTTCCTTACGATTTAAAAAGAAAAGAAAAGAAATGGGAACAAAAAAAAATATTTATTGTTGGAATTTGGAAAAATAAATGAGTATCAGGCATATGAGAAACAATCATGTAGATGGATGAGATGTGAAGCATAACGGAAGGCCTCTAATAGGCACTAATTTATTTTGTTCTTTTTAATTGTGTCTCTCTCTCTCGCTCTCACGTGTGTGTGTGTGTGTGTGTGTATTCAGTGCCCAATTTATATGGCACTGCTCAAGAAAACAAATGTTAATAACAATCAAGACAAGTTCTCTATTGAACAATCACAATTCATATTAATGACAGGTAGAATGACTTACAGCAATTGCAATTAGCTCTTCTAGCAATTCCTCCAAATGGCGCAGAGGCTGTATTCATACATATGTGGGCAACATTATTAGTAATCTGCTAAAGAGGATGCTCATGGCAGTAATGAAGGCTACTTCTGTGTATAAAGAGATCTCCGACAAGATGTAAACACACTTTTTCTTTATGAAATTAGAAGACAAGAAGAAAAGAGTAAGAATAAAAAAATCAATTATCACACATCTCTCATGTCAAAAGATGAGATATTGAAGAAGAATATTTGGAATCAAACAGGGAAAAATCAAAACTTTGGGACTACCCGGCAATTCATGCAGTACACTTGAAACTTACCCATTGGGTTGGGCCATCAACGGGAGCATTTCGAGGATCATCATGCACCTAAGCACACAGAAAAAAGCTCTTAAAAGCCCACCAATGCATAGAATAGAGGGTAAAATGAGGGCTATAACGGAATATGGCTTTTGAATGATCATGCTATGAAAAATTCTAAAGTGTGCATTCTATTAACCAAAAGAGCCATGCTATATTGGATGAGAAGTGCTCTACAATACCCACAATTTGACTTTCAACAAAATCATATCAGATATAGGCGCTGTTTGGGAAGGAAGTTTTTTGGTTTTTTTTTTTGTTTTTTTTCACTAAAAGACAAATTGGCTACAAAACCAAAAAAAAACAAATCCAAACAAAATATCACATCAAATCCCATAATCATTTCACTTTTTCTCTCACAAACATCACATCCAACCACAAAAAAAACCCAACTATCTTCCCAAAAAAAAAAAAAAAAAGTTTCTCCAATAATATCCTACAACTAAAAAAACCTACAAAAATCCATTTCCCAAACACTCACATGATTGTTTTGATCAGTACAGTTATGCATGTTATTTAATAAGAGAAACAACTAACAACAGAAATGAGAAGGAATATTTTATCCTTGTTTTCCACTCTAAAAGAATCAGTATGGGAAAGTTTTCTTTGTCAAGTGAGAGCACGATACCATTATTATCAAATGGTTTCAAGAAAGCAACAAAATTTTGCCAATGTCTATGTTAGGAGAGTCAACAAGTTTAAAAACTCTCATCCTTTCTCTTTGACAGTTTGCATCACATAAAATCTCTCTCTATATCCCCTTTTTTTGCTTCCATTTATGCAGCGATAGCTCTTTAGTACAAGAAATTGCAGTATATAATGCAAGAGTTAGTGTCTCACTCTCTAAATTGGCTACAAAACCAAAAAAAACAAATCCAAACAAAATATCACATCAAACCCCATAATCATTTCACTTTTTCTCTCACAAACATCACATCCAACCACAAAAAAACCCAACTATCTTCCCAAAAAAAAAAAAAAAATTTCTCTAATAATATCCTACAACTAAAAAAACCTACAAAAACCCACTTCCCAAACACCCACATGATTGTTTTGATCAGTACAGTAATGCATGTTATTTAATAAGAGAAACAACTAACAACAGAAATGAAAAGGAATATTTTATCCTTGTTTTCCACTCCAAAAGAATCAGTATGGGAAAGTTTTCTTTGTCAAGTGAGAGCACGATACCATTATTATCAAATGGTTTCAAGAAAGCAACAAAATTTTGCCAATGTCTATGTTAGGAGAGTCAACAAGTTTAAAAACTCTCATCCTTTCTCTTTGACAGTTTGCATCACAAAAAATCTCTCTCTATATCCCCTTTTTTTGCTTCCATTTATGCAGCGATAGCTCTTTAGTACAAGAAATTGCAGTATATAATGCAAGAGTTAGTGTCTCACTCTCTAGAACTTAGCATTAAAGTTACAAGAGAGAATCAGACACTAATTTTTTTTTTATTTTTTTTTATTTTTTTATTTCCAGAATACTGGTTTCGGAAACAATTAGCCAAACAAGTTTTGTTTTGTTCTGTTTTTTTGTTTCTTTCCAAAAAAAAAAAAAAAAAAATACAGAACAAAAACACAACCAAACAAGCCCTAAAATTTTCAGTTAGAGCATAGCTCAATTCTGTACCTCCATTGAAATTCCATCAACTCCAACAGCAACTGCTGTCCTTGCAATGCATGGTATCAGTTCACGGAGACCTCCACTGGCAACACCACCCCCCTCGAGCTATTTGAGAAAGAAGGGAAAAAATCAACATGAAATATACACATGTAAATTTGATTTAGAAATCTCCAACTAATTGGAGGTGATAAAAGCCAGAAAGAGTCAGTTACTGCTACAAAACGGATCAGAACTTAACACAGAAAAGCTAATTTACTAAAAGCGAAGAGAACACTGTTGCTGAAATTTTTTAAGAGGCCATAATAATTTGAGACAGTATTAGCTATGAACTGTTATTTCTCTATTAACATTCCTTGCCAGACAAGAGCCATGTACAGAGAATTATCAATGGCACAATGCTTTACGTGTTAAAGATGCACAAAAAGTGGGGTACTGCCAGTACAAAGCCAAAAAGAAGCAAAAATAGCTAATCCCAGAAGCGTCCTATACTCCTCTGGTATCAAAAGACTTCATAAAAGCCCAAAAAAGCAGAAAATTACAATTCAGTGGCGAGTGGGGTAACTATTTACAATTCGGTGCGAAAGTTTTTAAATTTGCAGTAGAGGTGAGATCTTCAATCTTTATAACAAATATATGGAATCTGCAAGTCGGAGGGATTTTTTTGGACAAAATTACCCCTCAACCCATTATATCCCAAGCATGTTTACCATCATCCACCACTGTGAAGGCATCAGCCATAATCAAACTATGAAGAGAGAATAAGAGGTTTTACAACTCCTTTTGTTGTCCAACTGGTACAAGAGTGCTTTGGCCACTAGGGAGTCATTGGAGGAGACCTTTGCTGTTCGCATCCAAACCCAATATGAAGCAAAAAATCTTCTTGAAGAATATGAAGACTTCAAGAGGCCTAACTCAAACTATAAGGAAGATGTTGATATGGATGATATGTGTGGGATCGATAAAGTGGAGAAAGCTTTTAAGAAAACAGAATTTGAGATGAGGGCCCAACAACACTTCTACCAAATAAGGGCTCACCAATTAGATAAACCAAATTTAGATAGGATAGAGGAGAGGTCAGGAAAAGAACATGTGTTTATTGAATTTTGCTAGACAAAGTTTCATGACCTTGTAACTTTGTTCATTCCTTACTTTTATGAAATTGAAAATGTAGCCAAATAGGCCCTCCTAATGTAAATATTTATATTAATAAAATTGGATTCACATATTCCAATTGCATGGTTAATATGACTTTATCCTTCGATTTGTTTATATAATTTATAAATAAGAGCTTTGAAGTAACCAATCTTATTTTGGAGCCTGGTTTAAGTGTTTCGAAGCATGGAGTTTCCCTTACAAAGTGACAAGATCTTCCTTTGAAGGGCTTTGCCTTAGTAGAAAGTTCAAAAAGTACTTTCATATATGGCTAAGTCCCCGGGTCTTTAAAATTTTCATACTAATGCCCACTTACTTTGAAACCAAACCCAGGCAAAAACTGTACTTCCTTTAATCAAAGAATACTAAAACATTCCTTCGAAGGCAATTTTCATTGATAGAAAGCCTAGGAGCGTACTTTCAAAACTTTCAAAGTAAGCAAGTCCTAACTCTGCTTGAGTTTAAGGTATAACCTTTAAAGATTCTGGGAAAACACTGGCTTCGAAGCCAACCACCTATTTCGAAGCCAAGCTGAGCATTTGAAATGTATTTCCCTCTCTTACAAAGTAACAAAATGCTGCTTTGAAGGAAGCTCTCTTTGTTGTGTTTTCAGGACCCTCTTTTTGTTTTAAAATAAAGGCCTTAATTCCACATGGGTCAAAATAACCAAACAATTAACTCGACTCTATTTGACCTGTTAGGCTGAACAGGTAATTTTTGGACAGAAAGGTTAAAAGCCCCAATTTTTCGCGCTCTTACCTATTTGTTTGTTCAGTTTCTTCTTTCGCTCCTATTGCTGTCAACTTCACCTCCTTACCCTTCTTAAACTCACTCTTCTCACCCTCCTTTTAATCTCTCACTAATGGCTTCTTCCTCCACGAAAGTACTAGTTGTTGATCACTTACATCCCTCAGCGGCTTTGAGGAGATGTGTTAATGATGAGATAGCCAAGTATCATGCACCAAAAGGTCAGAGCATGATTGATGGACGGATCTTCGTCCCTTGCCATCACGCTCGAGGGGAATACGTTCTCGGTCCCATCTTCAAGGAAGCTCGTGCTACACTTCCTCCACTATACCCACGCTTGGAAGAACATTATCTTCTCCACGAAGGAAGTTTCAACTGGGGAAATTGGAGGGTTAATCGACCTCATCACTGTTGGCCCACCTTGAAGACCGAGTGGGAAGAGTGGTATGACCTTAGTTGCAAGAATCGTCCTAACAGGTGACGAATCTTCCTAAGAAACGCGATTCCGCCTTTCGTAGAAAGAAACATGTAGGAATCACGTTTCCGTAGAGAGAGAAACGCGATCCTGGCCAAGATGGGATCGTTGGTGAAGAAGAACAAAAACCCTAGCTTGTTGGTATCAGATACGGCGAGGAGAGAGAGACAGAGGAGAGAGTGTGCGAAGGAAGAGAGTGAGAAGACAAACCTTCGTCGTCGTAGTCGAACATCCAGTTGACTCGAAGCATCGATTGAGCCTTCGACTCCAGTCGTATTGGACCTCGTGATCTGCTCGCGATCTGCATCGCGATCTGCTCGCGTCGAACCTTCGTCGTCGTAGTCGAACATCCATGGCCATCGCGATCAGTGCTCACCTCCTTCTTCTTCTTCTCTCTCTCTCTCTTTCTCTCTTTCTCTCTCTCTCTTCGATCTATGTTGTCTTCCCCCTCCCGTTTCTAACATATCTATATAATTTGTTATACAATAATAATAAGTAATATAATTTGTTATACAATAATAATAATATAATAATATAATAAATCATATATTTTGTTATATAACAATATAATAAATCTAATTAAATCAAATATAATAAAAAAAAATTTAATAAAATTTATAAAGTAAATCATTATTTTACTATTTTTGATTATTTTACTATTTTTTAACATATTTTATTATTTTACTGTTTTTTATTTATAATATATATCAATTAAAAATTAAAAATATATATAAATAAATTAAAAATATTATCTATAAAAATAATATCTAAGATAAAAATAATAAATATATTTAAAAATAATTATTTAACTCACCTTTATATAATAAATATATTTTAGAAATAACTATTAAATATATATATATATATTATCGCTTCCCGAGGCGCTCCCAACCTAAGAAACTTCTATCAGCTCACGCTTTCCCGCTCCCGCTCCCACTTCGTGCAACTAAGGGTATGACAGAGTAGTTGGAGCTCGGGAGCAAGACTTGGAAGACCTCCGCATTCTCAATGCCCTTCGGCTCTCGAGGTTTGTCAGTCCTGAGGACCCTTTCCTTATTTCTGCTCTTTGCTTTTGGAATCCTGCCTTCAATTTCTTTCAATTTCGGTGTGGTATGATAGCTCCTACCATTCTTGACATGTGCAATTTTTGCAGGCTTTCCCCTGCTTGTGTCACTTTTGGCCCTCACTATCCAGACCTTAAGGCCTCTTTCTCTATCCCCTCTTGCAATTCTTCTTATAGTGACTTCATAACTTCTGAAAATCAGAAGAAAGGTCCTGTGACTGATCGTGAGCTCTTTTCTTTTCTTCTTTACTGGCTCTGTAAGTTCCTTTTTTGCATCTTTTCCCAGAGGATAATGCCTGAATTTGTCCCCATCTTTCCATTATATACATTAATTGTTGTCACATAGCATCTACTAACCCTCCCTATGGATTCATTGGTTGGGTAGAGGGGACAGTTGACGGTCCAGTTTCATGGCCCTGTCCAGGATTTTGAACATACGTTGTATGCCCTGAAGTACTAGTCTCTTCAACCATTTGTGGAAGATGTATTAAGACAGGCACATCCAATGGGTGTGATATTTCATCATCCTCTGGGTTATGCGGTTCTATATCTCCTTCTACACCCTCTTCGAAGCATTCATTTTCTCTTTATCTCCTACGTCTGGCCATTATTAAGTCCTACCGGGTGTGCCAAAAAATATATGTTGGCTTTTTTGGCTTTCGAATGTTAGAAATATAATTCGAGCGTGCCAGCAAGGATTAATAAGTCCTTACAACGATTGATAAATGCCAACCAATTAGTCAGACGATTGTTTCAAAGTTCTTTTAGCCTCAATAAAGAGGGCTTTACTGGTGGTTTAGTTTTTTTAGGAGAAAATGTAGAAGACTAAGTAAGATAAAAGAAAGAGGGAACAACAGTGTCAGAAATCAATCTTTTATTAGTAAACAAAAGTTTACAATTGTACCTTTACGCTTTCATAGTTTCGAAGGGGATTACAGCAACAGACTAACTTAGAATTACTCCTAGGAATTTGAAGTGCATTACAGGAATGTAAAGACTGGAATTAAAAGGACTGGAAAATATAAAGTAAACAAACTGGCTTTCTGGATCTGGTTTTGCGTCCCCTGCATTATCAGCACTCTCCTCTATTTATACGCTCTGAAAATAACTGTCGAAGTGGTTGATAATCCGTCGAAGTAGGCGATAACTGTCGAAATGATCTCCATGATCACTGAGTGTGGCTTGCGGTTTTGATCGGTTTGCTTCCCACTATTCTTCCATTCTTCATGGTTATGCATTCCTCCTGAATTTGAATTTAAACTGTAGACAACCGTTTGGCCACGTCACCTTGGATATCTTGACTATTTTCATGTCTCGCGAATCCATTGCCATTCCTGCAGGTTGCCACGCGTCTATTGATAGTTAGAGATCTTCACTGATTCCCCAATTTATCCCTTATAATCCACGTGTCAGGCTGCGATAAGTCTATACAAAATATATAGCCAACATTATCATAAGGCAATCCCCATAATGGGTGAGAATGCCTCAGAATTCAAAAAGCTATTCATTTTTGAGCATCTTCTCACCAAGAAAAAATAAAAATAAATAAATATAGACTTCAAATAACACTACTCTTTGAATGGGCATGAACATCTCAAGACTTGAAAGATATCACAATTTTACAAATGCATCAGCATCCAAATTACATGCCATGTAAATTAATAACCAAAGCAAAAGCATAAAAAATATCAGAATCACTCAAAATAGAATGACTTACAGCCTCATTTTCACAAACAAATAACCTGTAGTTATTCCCAAATATTGTAGATGTTTAGATGGCATTCCCTGTAATGAGTGGTTTGGGAGGAGACAGAGATCTAATTTCAGGTGCCGAACTAGGAAAAAGTGTGTTAAGCTTGTGCATAAGGATGTCAGCCCTTGATGGAATCTCATTCAAAAGAAATTGCTGAACAATTGGTTTTTTAAACCACTCCAAAACAGAATTCCCCGGGGCCCTCAAAACAACCTTACTAACCTCAAAAGGTGATTCTACTGAGTTCAACATTTGTGCAACCATGATCTTTAGAGTAGGTCCAGTGACCAATTTGATCCTTCTTGGGACAACCCCATTGTACAACATCCGCTTCCTAAACCTATGGAAGGTGTGAACTACAGCTATGAGAGCTGCTCCAACAGACAAGTTTCTGACATCAAGTGACCAAGCTATATGCTGATCAAACACTATGGCCTTTGGGAAAAGCTTATTCTCATATGCAACTTTCCACACATAATGAGCTCGGTTTATCTGGCTTCATAAGTACAAGGTAATTTAGGAGAACATTGACAAAGTACATGATAGTGCCCTCTTCTAACTCATAATCAATGCCCTGGAAAAAATCCCTTACGAAGGATAATACAGGTTGTTTCCTTTGTTCTGGGCCCATAAAGAGTCCACACATGAAGTTGTGTGCCTTATGCTTTGTAGCACCAAGGATTGACATCAAATGCCTCTCATTCTGCTCTTCCTGGTATCTCACAAGATGAGCTAGAATTGATGTGTAAAGTATAAGGTCAACTTTTGCGGTAGAGTTGACATAAGTTTCTAGGAGAGGTTTGGCTGACTCATACAAACCACTCTTCATGCATGACTCAAAAAGCGGCCTGATTATGAAATTATTCGTTCTAATAGAGGATGCCCCCATGAAGCGTAGCCACCTCAAAGCAAGATCGACAGAACCATCCTTGATATAAACCATTAGAACATCACTAGCACTCACATCCACAGAATAACCCATAGCCTTCATTTCGAGTAAAATTTTAGCAGCAACATAAGTTTCTCATTTGCTAGAAGTGTCACAAGGGCAGTATAAGTACTTAGTCCTGGTCTCAGACCTGCATTGGTCATTGAGTTATACAGCTTCATGGCAGCATCTACTTGACCTGAAGCAGCATGCATCTCCAAGAGACATGAATAGGTAGATGGAGTGGGTAGAAATCCAGCCTTCACCATATTTGAAAAGATAGACATAGCAATCTCAAGTTTTCCAGATTTTGCATGAGACTCAACAATCATTGTATACAACCCATAGTTAGGTCTTAACCCTGCTTTCCTCATCTCATCCCAAATCCTAAGAGCCGTCTCCAACTTCCCAACCTTAATAAATGACTCAATTAAGGAAACAAACATGGTCGCAGATGGCCTTAGCCCCAAACCTTTCATTTCCATGTATACCTTCATGGAGGTGTCCAACCTCCCAGCTTTTCCCATTGAATCAACAAGCGAGGAAAATATCAAGAAACTCTGCCGGAAGTTGTTTTCTTTCATCTTTTGGAAAAGCTTGAGAGCAGCATCAAGATGGCCTGATTTCGCCAAGCTCGGTATCATCAACTCATATATTGATCCGTCCAACGAGCACCCAACCTCTTCCATGTTTTCGTATATCTCAAACGCCTTGTAAGGCAAACCCTTGGTCAAAAACAAGGTTATAAGTGAATATTAGGTCTGGGTATCTATGTTGGAACCTGATTCTTGAACCTTCTTGAAACAACAGAAAGATACCTCCAATTTCTTCGCTTTTGCTAAGTATTGAATGACCCGATTAAATACAGAGAATGAAGACAGTCCAGTGTTACCAGAATCGCGAATCATCTTATCAAACAGCGACTGAATCCCATTGAAATCCCTGGTCTAGTTCAACTTGTCAAAGAGTGTAACATAAGGCCATGTTTGTTTGGGTGGACATGAGCTTGGGATTGGATTAATAGTCTAATAAAATTATTAATCCGATGTTTGGTTAAACAATTGAAATACAGACTAATTATTTTAAACTTGACTATTAGTTAAGATAGGGTACTTAATCCAACGGATTTGTAATCCTAGGACTATTAGTCATGGGAATGCTAATCCAGTTCGCCCAAACAAACATCCCATAACAATCGTCGTGACAAGGGGAGTAC